CTTCTTCTTCTTCTTCTTCTTCTTCTTCTTCTTCTTCTTCTTCTTCTTCTTCTTCTTCTTCTTCTTCTTCTTCTTCTTCTTCTTCTTCTTCTTCTTCTTCTTCTTCTTCTTCTTCTTCTTCTTCTTCTTCTTCTTCTTCTTCTTCTTCTTCTTCTTCTTCTTCTTCTTCTTCTTCTTCTTCTTCTTCTTCTTCTTCTTTATAATTTTCTGCAATCCTTTTTTTATTTATTTTGTCAACACTGAAAGCCAAACAAGTACAGAAAAAATATTCTTATAATTAAAACTTATGAAAAAGATTAAAAAAAACTCTTATGAAAAATATAGAAAGTTTTACAAACTAAAATCGATGTCAACAAGATTTTATCAAATTGTAATTCTTGCTTGCTTATGTATTGCTATGTTTTCTAATTTATATTTTTAATATTTTAAACGGTAGAAAATGCTACCCAAAAACAGAATTAGGAACCAACCAAATGGAACTACAAATAGACAAAAAAATATATAGACAAGACGAAGTGCTAAAATCTCAAGTTAAAGATATGCTAAAGAACTAAAATTCTAAAACTGATGAACTAGTTACGTTAGAACTGATATGGACAAAGAAAATGAATACCATGGTATCGAAGAAGATCCCGATGAAAATATAGCAAACAAATCATAGCTAGGGGCATCATTTTTTTAGTGCGCTTTAGGCGCCAAATATATCCGGACCGGCACTGATAGGTTGCTACATTTTCCTTGGTGATTCTTTAATATCACGCTGACCCGACTTGCGAAATTATTTGGCTAAATTAGTTGTTAAAGGATTTACATGTCAATAACTACCATTTATTTCCTGAAAGATCGAGTGCTGGCTTTATCAACTTACTTCATGCAACCTCAAAAGAATCAGTTGGCTGATTTTTTCAAAGCTCTAACTTTGAAAGCATTCGAGATTCTCATGTCCAAATATGTTTGTTTAAGTCTCTTCTTTCCTTGAAAAAACGACTTAAGGGAAGGTAATAGACTAAACCACATCCGGTTATGTCAATTGTACAACACATCTATTCTATTAAAATAGAATCATGACCGGTTGATATTGTTTAGTCCAATATAATCCATGTTTCAAAATACTTAACTGCCAGTTTATAACGAGACGACTTAGAATTTTACAACCACCCCTCATTTTACTTCCTATAATTTCGGATGCATTACTCTAATTTTTAGAAAAGATCACATATAAAGTAACTATATATATTCAAAGAAAAAAAATATTAGACTACAATCATTGTTAGTAAGCAATTCCTCTATTACATGCTTTGATTTCGCCTGATACCAATATTATCAAAAACAATTAATAACATCTAAATTCATAGTATCAATAACTATGTTTACAAATAAATAAATAAATAGTTATTTGTGGAATAATCAAACTGCATCTAAATTTCCTCTAGCATCTAAATATATAACGTAACTATTTTCGATATCAATACTATTAAATTAGAAACATGTTTAATTGATATTAGTTTAGTCCAATTTAAAATAACACATCATATATATATAACTGTTTATATGACTTTAAATAACACGGTATCTATATTAATAATTCTATAACCATTAAGGTTCTATTTTTAAGGACTACAAAGATATCAACTCCTCTAATAAAAATATTCATAGTTACACAACACCGACATTTTAATAACTCACGTGGCCTTTTTCATTTATACTGGATCAAAATTTACAAATCTATATTTAATTTCATGACAAATTATTATGTGTAATTATAACATTATTATAATTATATATAAAAATAATGAAAAATTAATGAAAGCCCTATAATTTTATTTATTTAATTAACATGGGTATATTTTAAAAATTGTAGCTATACTTTGTCATTTAAAAAACAAAATAATAACTATTTACGAATAAATCACAGAATAAATGTGTAAACTGACTATAGCTCATGTATAATTATCCAACATCATAAATTCAATCAAATTATATCAAAACCTCTTACTGATAATAATTAAAAAAAATTAACACAAATATAATTACAATAAATACAAATATCTTTACAAACAAAAATATAAATATAAAAATTAAATTTCTAAAAATAAAATAAAACAATAAATATAGCCGCCCTTTCAAGGGCGGGTCAAAATCTAGTTAGTCTTATGACTCTTATCTCTATAATATTATTTGAATAGTCAGTTTCATATTTGTCATACTTTATACTTACGATGGTTAATTAAAGAGGCATCTTTAATGAATTAAATATATTACATATACTTACCATTATTAAACTTTATTTTCCTTTTTATTTAATAATTTATGTTAGTTAGATTTTTATTTTATTTTTTTCCAAATAACATATATAATTAAAACATTCTAGACAATATATAAAAACGAATTTAAATAATAAAATACATTTATATATAATGTGCTTTCATAAAAAAAGGAAAGACAACAAAAATATTCTTGATATTAAGAAAATTATAATATTTCCTTTAAAATATAATCTTAAGCAACATAAAATATATTTTCAAACTAATAAAATTATTTTCCTTAAATCTATTATTTTCTTAGATGATTAAAGAAAAATAAATAACTTAAAACAAGATATCTTTAGTTGAACGATAATACTTTATAATTAATATTATTGAGATGTTTATTCATTTTTGTGTAATCTTTAGTCGACTAAAACTTTTTTATATTTATTCTGAAAAATGTAAAGTAAAATAAAACATATTATTTTATATTTATGTTTTAATACTTTTATACATATATATTACAGGATACCTCAAACCATACTAATAAATAAAAATAAAATATCAAGTAACTAAAATATTACCGTTGTATTTACTTATGTAAATTTTGAATCGATCAACACTTTAATTTCAGAACAACCAATCTAAATGCAAACACAAAACTAATCAAAATAATTACTTACTAAAATATTTTTACATATCTAACAGAAAAACCAAAATCTAAATGCAAATATAAAATTAATTAATTTAGAACAAAAACCTTATAGTTATATTCTGAGGTGTTGATGCTATCTAACATACTCAAGTGATAATTAAACTAGCTAGATATTATATATTCAAAATCACATGTATAGTTAAAACAATATAATATTATTAATATATACATAGAAATTAGAACAATAATTTAAACTTGAAATTAAACTATTAATCAGTTGTTATCATATATTTTCTTTATAAATATCTATATCCTTGCAAGACGACAGGAGAATCAATTAGTCTTATATATAAAGACGTTGTAACATATTTATAAGTTAATAAAGATAAAAAATTACGCTCTCTCTAATCTACTAAAAAGTTTTTGGAAATATTAAATTGATTTAAATTTTTCATTTGACTAAAATTTGAATTTGTATTAAAATTGAAACCGTGTCAAGTCAATTAGATTGACACGGTGAATCTTAGCCAAAATCAAATATTACCATTTTAAAAGTTACCACAATAAGATTTATGATGTATTCAAGCAAATATTCTCGTCAACCTTTCTTTTAACGACAATATAAATAAAGAAAAATTTATTATAGATGTCCACCTATTTTTTGCAAAAAAAAAATATTTTCACCGATATCAAGCATCAAAATAATTCTTTCATCTTAAATAGTCTTCTTCTTCTGTTTGATTCACACAGCAGATTTCGGTCTTTTCACGCATACAGTTCATATCTATGGTAAGTACTCTTTGAGCATATGATAATTGATTTTTGCTTTAAACTTTTCTCACATATACAATTAAACTTTTGTAATTTACACTTTAAATAAGTATTCGCTTTGTTGAGTTTCTGAAAAACCATTAAGCTTTCGTTATCTAATGAAATTTTGTTACTAAAACATTTAAGAAAACCTTTAAAAGTGTGAAACTCTATAGATGTTCATTCTTCAGTGTTTTCACATAACAATTTTGACAGAATATTAATTATGAATATATTTAAAAATAATTGCTTGTATATAATAATATAAAAATATTTGTAGATTAAAATATGAATTTTTTTATTAATTGATATTACCGTTAGTTATTACTTTATGATAGTTTTAAACTTTTCATTTAATAAAGATTTAAATAAAAAAATATTTCAACCAAAACATATGTAAATTATTTAATATATATATATGTGATATATTTGAACAAATATATTAAATAATTTATTATAACTTGTATTATAAATTATTCATAACTCTGCCAATCGCTTAAAATATTTATTATCTAAAACAATTTTTTTTGCTTATGTCACTAATGATAGACTCGAAAAGGGTGGGAAAAAACAAATTTGAATTTCTGAATTTTCATACCGAATGGATAGATAAAATGATTTTGAATTGAATCTGAGATAAATATCCAAATGAGTGTTTTTTACAATATTTTTGATATTTTTATCTAAACAAAAACCAATTCTGAACAAGTATTAAAACCCCCCAAGATTAAAACCCCATATAAATCCGAATATGTACTGAAAATATTCTCATAAGTAATAGGATAAGCATCTTAAACATAGACAAATAACTTAAATATTTAGTTTAATGTATGTTTTGGTATTTAGTCATAAGTTTTTAAATTTATTATATTCTTTCTTTAAGATTTTTGAGTTGCTAGATATTTTTAGAATTTGAAATATATTTGATAAGATAAATGGGTAGACAAGTCCCAACCAATCTCGCAAACCTTTGAATCAAACCCGAACATAACTCCGACTTTGTATGTATAAATATGCAAACACCTCATATGAATTTTAAATTATACTTATTGGTGACTTCTTATAAATAAATAAATTTAAATAGTTTTCATCTTTTCTTTTCGGCAGTCGTTTTTTATTAAAAAAAACAAATTAAAATATTTATTTATTGGGAAATTCACCAGAGGATTACGGTGTTTCGTAACCAATCAATTCAAGAGTTAAGTTGGTAAGAATCAGACAAGAATGGTTACTGACTGGTTCCAAAGCACTCTTCTGTGTTGGCGTCCTAGATAATTCTCAAAATTAGGTTTTTTATTTTTAAACTGTTCTACCTCCATTTCTTAATCTTCACCCTCTCTTTTAATCGGAGATCTCTGCGAAATCTAAGTTTTTGTTTTTATTCATATTATTTCAATTTTCCCGGAATTTTCGAAGGTCTCTCTTCCAATTAACAGATTCTCTACTTGTGGATTGTTTTGACGAAAGACCCTTTTATTTTTTTCTTCTTTCTTTCTGCGCAGGCTGAAGGTGGAAAAGCAATACAAGTCCATGATGATGATCTCGTAGCGAGAATGCCAGGCATCCCTCTCGTCACTCGTCAAACCTCTTCGTATGTTCTCTTTTTTTAAATCTTTAACCTTTTCATCTTCCAAGAAAATTATATTGCGTATGTACACTTGTAATGAGGTTGGCTGCTTCTGTATTTTGTAAATCGCAGGTGTTCAAGAAACACAATTCAGATGTGCAATGAAGACCCCCGTGTGCATTTGTCTGAAGAGGAGAAGATTGCTGCTGAAAAGAGCTTGGAAGCGTATTGCAAGCCTGTTGAGTTCTACAACATTATCCAGCGGCGTGCCCTTAAGAAAGTATGTTTTCCTTTTAACTCCTTTTGAGGAATGTGACATAGCTCAGCTTGCATAGCACATACATGTGTCATCTTGCTATTCAGTTCTTCCTCTAACCATTCCTCTCCTCTCTCTCGTGTAGCCTTTGTTTCTTCAGAGATGTTTGAATTATAAGATTGAAGCAAAACATAATAGCAGGTAAAGTTTTTTTATTTTTCTTGTCTTCTGTTCAGAATCTTCATTAGTTTTTTTTGTCTAGTTACCAGTCACCTAAATGGTTTGTAAGTTTATGAGACTTTCCCCTTTTTTGGTGTAGAATACAAATGAGTGTGTTCCTTTCGGGGACTACAGATACTGGGGTACAAACTCAAAAGCTGTTCCCTCTGTATATTTTGCTGGCAAGACTCGTTTCTCCTAAGCCTGCTGCAGAGGTAGGCGTTTGACTTTGATTCATCATTTATCTTATGTCACTTGTACCTTATCTTTTCGTCGCTAACATTCTTTCTTTCTTCAAATTGTAGTATTCTGCAGTATATAGGTTCAGTCGAGCATGCATCCTTACTAGTGTCCTGGGTGTTGATGGAGTCAGTCAAGCTCAAGCCAACTTTCTTCTCCCTGATTTGAGCAGGCTTGCCTTGGACGCAAGATCAGGATCATTAGCTATCTTATTTATCAGCTTTGGTGCGTAAGATTGACTTTGTGTTTCAAATTTATTTGAAGACATTCGTAATATGTCCTGATCAAATGATTTTTCTTTCTTATAGCTGGTGCGCAAAATTCTCAATTTAGCATTGATTCAAGCACTAGACATTCAGGTACTATTATTTTGATTATTAAAGTGATGTATATCTATTTGGACGTAATATGTTTAATTTCAAAATGATATAGCGACCCAAAGAGTTCTTGAAAGTCTCTTTCGTCTAAAGATATATGATAATGAGAGTTTTTTGTTTTGTTTCTGTTGTTGCAGGAAATATAGGAGGACATTGCCTATGGAGCAAAATACCTGTGCAATCGCTCTATGCATCGTGGAAGAATTCTGCAGACTTGGAATTGGGACGGAAAGTAAACTCAGTCTCTCTTGTTGAAATGCAGCCTTGCTTCATTAAGGTAATCGTTTTATTTAAATACTGTTATGCTCTTCACTTTTCAAAAGCTCTTTGTTCCCTATTCTGAAATGATGACTCTGGATTTAATCTCTTTTCATGTTACTTGAAAACTTAAATTGAAGGCAATTGCTAATGTGAAGTTACTTTACAATTTTCAACATTTTAATGAAATCATTAACTTGTCCATTTCTGCAGCTAAAGTCTATGACTGAGGAAAAGTGTGTCTCAATTCAGGTTCCCAGCAATCCCCTCACCTCGGTAACTTTGCTATACTTCCATACGTTGTTCCGAAAATGTTATGCAATGGTATCTCATAGTTCTTGTATTTTTGGTTTGAAGAGCTCACCGCAGCAAGTGCAAGTCACCATATCTGCAGAAATGGTTGGGGCATTAGAAAAATCTCCTTATAGTTCATTTACATATGATGGCATCCCTTCCTCTTCACTGGTACACATTATCAGGTAACTTTAGTTTAGTCTACAATCTCTCTTTCCACGTCTCATTGTGTTTTATTGGATTTGTATAAGCTCTGTTGACCTGCCTGCTATCTAGAGTTTGTTAGTTTTCTTGAATTGTAAGCGTTACCTACAACTTACAGTGTTCATCTCTTCATGTCGACTCTGAACCACTATGCTAATTCATTGCATAGGTTGAGAAAAGGGAATGTCGTTTTCAATTACAAATACTATAACAACAAACTGCAGAGGACTGAAGGTAATTTTGCATAATCACTAACCTATGTAGGTGAAGAACATTTTGTATCATCCTTCTTGTTGTAAGTAACATCTTGTATTCTGTTTGCTTTGTGTCTTGCAGTAACTGAAGACTTCCGTTGTTCAATCTGTTTAGTAAAATGTGGCAGTTTCAAGGTAGACTTTCATTTCCATTCTCAGTCAGAGATACAGCTAAAGTGACTAGTATTTGTAGTGATGCAGTCCTTATTTTTTTGTTCGCAATCATGTTGTAGGGCCTGAAATGTCATTTGCCAGCAACCCATGATCTCTTCAATTTCGAGTTTTGGGTTTGTAACTTCAAACTTCAGTTAGATCTTGCTCAGTATTGTTTTTTCTTTTTCTTTTGCCACTAATCTGCTTCACTTGGGTTTTAGGTAAGTGAAGATTATCAGGCTGTAAATGTGTCCCTGAAGAGTGAGACAATGATCGCTGAGGTTAGAGCATCTCTTTGTTCTATATATCCATTAGCTTTTATGATGTAGATCTTATAGGCTGTGACAGTTTCAATTTACAACCTAACATTCTTGATGAGCTGTTGGGGTGGTTAAATAGCATTACTGAAATACTTCATTGTTTTTTGCCACATTATGATCTCCGATATTGTCCTCAATGACAATGGCATGGCTGTGGCCCTTAAATTTTGCGGCCATCACTGCTTGGCTGTTGAATAGAGTCCTGAATTATATAGGAGTGTCAAACTTTCTTGTAGCAGTTGGTGCTATAATATATTCCATGTCTTCATAGTTTTTCCAATTTGACTATCACTCTTGGCATAGTTTTCTAAATGTAAATGTTCATCTCAGATTAATGAGGGCGGCGTTGACCCAAAGCAGCAACCATTGTATTTCTCGTAAGTGATCTGGCCTATTATGTTTACTTTACTTATATTACTAGCATTGGGTTTCAGTCTTACAGACCTTAAGAATTCTATAATATTTATTATATGACAGTTCAAAGAATTACAGACGTAGGAAGCAAAAGAGTCAAGTACGGAGCACAAGGCAGGGGCGCCAAATTGGATTAGGCTGCGAGGTGCTAGATAAAACTGATGGTTAGTGGTCGATTGTAATGGATCTTAACTTGGATTTGTAGTATTGGTTTCTTTTGCCATGAGACCCTGTTTAGTTTTTGCTTATATCTCCGAGTAATTTACTTTATTACGTGCATTCAACAACATTGGATTATTTGGCACATGTTTTTTTTTTATTGTCAGATGGTCATACTGTTAGAAGTGAGAGGAGCCGAATACCAGCTGGAAATAGAGGTGGTGAGTCGTCTGGTCAAAGAGTTCCTCCTGGTGATGTGCAATCAGGTGGTGATCCAGATAATGTGCAGCCAGTAGCTGGAAATACAATGCTGCAGTTTGCAAAAACGAGGAAGCTATCTATAGAACCGTCGGACTTGAGGAAGTATGTTTGACTTTTTGTGATTCTATGTCCTAGTTTTATGACTAGTAGCTTGCTCATCTCAAATCAGATGACTTGTTTTGAATGTTTTGTCTCCTCCAGCCGTAGCCTCCTTGAGAAGAGACAGTTCTTTCACTCTCACCGATCTCAGGTGACCTATTCCTTCTTTATCTCTCTTTCTTGTGAAGATTACAACTAATTTTGATTTTTTACTCTTGTGTACTATCGCAGCCCATGTCTCTGGAACAAGTACTTTCTGGCCGAGATAGTGAGGATGAAGTTGATGATGATGTGGCAGATTTTGAAGATAGAAGGGTATGATGATGCCAATGCAGCCAGTCTTGTTCCATTTTCCTTTCCTTCTCACAAGAAGCTAAATTGTTATTTAAGTAGTATGGTAGAGATTTCAATAGAAAATATGTATGCTCATGGTCCGATATGGAACAATAGAACCAAATAATGAGCTTATATAACGAAACTGTCTCTGTTTGTTTTCGGTTGTTACATAGTTTGTTATATAACGAAACCGTCTCTGTTTGGTTGAATGATATTTCTTCCTTTTACCATCTGAACATTTTCTTTCTTTCTTTCTTTCAGATGCTTGATGATTTCGTTGATGTGACTAAGGATGAGAAGGAGATGATGTACATGTGGAACTCGTTTGTGAGGAAGCAGCTGTATGTGTCTTACCTCTTTTTAGTACTTATGATGGCGAGTATTACTTCAAGAGGCATATGTGTAGTTTGTTTGTGGATATTCCTGCTTGAGTTCTTTTAGTAAAAATAAAGTGAACATTAGAGGATAATCTCAGGATAAGCATTACCTTGACAGTGAATTTTGTCCCTTTGCAGAGTATTAGCAGATGGTCACATTCCATGGGCATGTGAGGCGTTCTCAAGATTACATGGACCAATCATGGTTCAAAGACCCGATTTGATCTGGTAACTTAACTCTCATTTCCTCCATATTATTAATTTGACAAGTATTTCATAGAAGAAAGTGGTTTTGTTGATAAAGGTGAGTGCTACTTGTGTAGGGACTGGAGAATGTTCATGGTGAAACTATGGAACCACGGCCTTCTTGACGCCCGAACCATGGATAAGTGTAATGTCATTCTCCAAGAGCTCCAAGCTGAAGATCAAGAAACAACTGTTTAAATAGAAGAGAAATGCCAAATTTAAAAGAAAAAACAAAATAAGAGAGGAGAAGAATTTTAGGTTTAACATCAAACCAAAAAAAAAAAACTACAGTTCTTTATTCAGGAGTTACTTTTCTTTAGATAAAAAGTTTGGTAATATTACATTTGTCAGAAAGATATGATAACTATTCACTTAAGTTCTTTATAGAAAGGGACTAAAGAATTGTCCAGCATTACTGAAAACAAGAAGGGGAAGAGAAGACAAGAGCTTCTCTTCGAAAGGTTTTTCAAAGGCATATATATGAGACCAAGGAGTTGTAGATCAATGTTGATATCAGATTCTCTGAAGCGGTGATTGAGTCTTTGGTTGAACTCTTAAAGAATGAGGAAGATACTACTCTATGATCTTATGATCGAGTTTCCATTCTTGTTGACCACAAAATTTGTGTGGTTATAATTTTCGTCTTCCCCTTATAGATAACGTATTCGGGATTGACAACTTTATGCATTCTCCTCTTTTTGGTTTACTTCTGTGGCGCAACAACACATAACGACACTTGCGCTAAGCACCAAACCGACCCAGGCCTTGTTGTGTTGGATTCCTGACCAAAACTAGTTTTGCCGTCGTCTCTAGTGTGATGTGCAATATAAAAGGGGATTTGCCATCGTCTCTGATGTGACAGTACATATTTCAAACTTAGTACAAGACATTTTTGTTGTCGTGAGAATTAACAGTGCTCTTATATCCGAATGCTTGTATGCTTTCTTCATTCTTATTGTTTATATAAAACATAAATATTTCGTTATAGTCATTTACGTGATCTTCCGTACTTGGGTGCCCATTAATCATTATACGTTGGCTTTTTTTTTACCTCAAAATCGCGTTAACACGATGCTGTAAACCAAACTAATTAAGGAAAATTTAATAATTTTCAGATAAGATATGAACATACGTGGATAAACACATAGATGATACATGGCATTACAATACAAGAAAAATTACTGTCAACTCTATATTTTCTTTTGCCCGAAACAAGTGTAACTGAAACAGAGCATGTGTACATATAATAATAGCCAACAAATTACAAGCGGAGGCAATCATGAAACTTTGATTAGTCTCTGGTAAGTAAGTCTATACAATTTCGAAAATATAATTGAATAAAGCTCCCCATGCACTCTTTCATGGGATATAATACATTGGATTCGGAAGTTTAAAAGATCGTTGAGACATGGAGGAACCCAACAGATCACTCCATTGGTCACCTGAATTGCCTCTAATCCTATATCCCCCTTTCACCATCTCATCCCTCTTCTCAGATTTGTATAGCGTCGCCAGCTTATGCTGTTCATCTGGTGCTCTGCAAGGCCAAAGAAAAAAACAAAACGAATTGTAATTAAACATGGTAAGCTACTACATGTGTGTGTTATTAATTACCTGAGAATGAGCTTGTCCCAGTTCTGGAAACCGGCATTGATGAGGTTTTCAACAGTGACAAGCCTGTGGCTCTCTTTCCTCCCCGTAAGCAAGAAAACTCTGTACCCCAAATCTATAACTCTTTGGTAAAGCTTCAAGCTTGGTGCTATCGCTGGCGCCACTCCTCTCTCTACCCACTTATCGAACTCTGAGTGATCAAACACCTCAACCCTACAACAACATTGTTCGGTAGTGACTAGTGAGTAACAAGAAACAAAACAAAGTTTTTGAGATTTGAGAAAAACAAAGTGTTACCCAAAGCCATGGTCGATGTAATAGGGAAGATTAGACAAGAGAGTCTCGTCAATGTCGAAAATCCAAGCATCTTTGCCGTCGCCGGAGAAATCGACGGTGCTCGCGAAGATGGAAGCTTCTTCAGAGTGTATATCTTCAAAATATATCTTCAAAATGTAAAAAGTGTATCTTTTTGAAATCAAGTTTTTTTCTAAAACATGTAACATTATGAAACAGAAAGAGTATAACTTAATAAAAAATTTGGTTCCAAATGGAATCAACATGGCACAAATCAAGAAAATAACAAAATAGTATTTTAAAAAAATCTGTGTAAATAAATTAATTTCAAGAAAATTATAAATTAAGGATGAATCTATCATTTTTTTATATTCAAAATAAAATTACTTTTAGATTTTCTTAACACCTAACATATTTGATGAGATTTAGTAAAATCCTATCTAAATCTATATAAATTCTATGAAATATATAGTTTATATACACAAAATAATACAATAAGCCCAGTATAAATGTCAAATTGCAAAATAATTAAAATATATAAATCAAATAATTTTCTTATTTTGCAAAAAGTTATCTTAAATAAAAATGTAAATAAGAAAGGTTTATAAATTAATAATTCTATAAATTAATAAAATATAATAATCTTAACTTTATTATTTTATATAGTTTTTACTGTATATATTGTTCCAATTTTAAGTGTAGAATTCCAGTTATTTCTTAAATTCTATGTATTTGAATCGTGTTTTGTGGTATGTGAATTGTATAAAAATAAAATAATTACTCATCTGAAATTCTATTAGAGTTATTTATAACTATATTTTATTCAGTGATATCATATTATTATGCTTTGATACCATCTAACACTCTTATAAAAGTTGGGTAGAATCCTAATCAAAACTCTTTAAAATATGGATATGAGCTATTGTTTTTTCGCTGATTTGAATATTCAGAAGAAAGTTTATGGGAATATTGCCAAATATTTTTATATATAAAGTATGTTTTTCTCTCTCATGGCTCTGTCACGTCATTAAATAGAGGGAGAAAATGCTGACACTATCTCTCTTTCTTTAAAAAAACTATGATTTTTGTTTTTAATATTTGGGCTTAATTTGATTCAGAGCGCAAAACAAACTGGATTGGCATTAGCTTCACGTTATTACAATTGCTCGACGGAAAAAACACTGTCAACCGACTGAGGAACCACCGTCTCCAGTTCCCGAACTACACCGACACCAAACCTACCCCTTAACTTTTCCGGATACATGACCGGCGAGAAGATCCTAAAAGCATAACTCTCAAGCTTCATGCCTACAACCTCACTTCTTAAATAAGATCTCCTTTAAAAAACATAAAGTCACCCAGAGTGAGTCAAAGCTTCAAAATATGGAGATTAAATATTGGAAATAGATTACAGCGACAGGATCTTGACTAAAGGAACCACCATCCTCCACCAGAGATTTCAGCGAACCACCAGGATACTGAGATAAATGACGCCACTCATGAACAAAAACCAAGTGATGTCAGAAAAATTCTGACTAAAAAACCCTGAAGGACTAACCAATGTTCCTCCTTACCCTGCTCGAGTGAAGATAAGAACGGGACAAGCTCCGACAGCCTCCGTAGATGCACTGTCTTTCCCCTCACCGGACCGGCTAAAACACTTGTCCATCGTGAATAAACATCCTCCTTTGCCTTTGTTTAGAAACTTCGGTGGAAAATTTTATGAAAGAGACGGGATAGAAATAGGGTTAGTAACAACTGAGCTTTTAATAAGTTAATAAGATATATTAGTGGAATCAATTTAATCACAACAGAGCCCAATTACAACAAAAGAAATACAATTATCTTTAACAAAAAAAAAACAATCTATACGTGAAACCCATATCATCGGGTTGCTACAAAATAAATATGATTCTATAATGCCACCGAGAAGTCGTATCAATGACTTAGAAAACATAAGTATCGGTTGCTTCTATTATAATCAGATGGGGAAATTGATGCGGTTGATCTAAACAAATAACAACACTGACGAGGCTACACACTTCTCATTTTTCATGAATTTTAATTAGCTTTACTTTGTTTCAAGTTTTCAATTTCTAAAAATTATTCTACTTTAACATAACTTATTATAGTTTCACAAGTTAAAGAGAATGTTTAATAAGAACTTGCTCTCTTATTAATCCTTGAGAAAATTCCTCAAAACTCAAGTAGGCAAAACAAAACTCTCAAACTCAATCAATCTCTCAATGCAACAAACGCATTCTTTATATATAGGAAACAAAACCTAACCCTAACAAACTTGTCCTAATCCTTTAAAACAAAACCAAGAAGGATAAGGATAACTTATTTCCTAAGTTATTTCAAGTTTATCTTCCAACAATCTCCCCTCTAAACTTGAAATCTCCTTTTGCCAAGTCCTCAACTCCAAGTATCAATCTCATTTCTCTGTAACGTGTCTTGCCAAGTCCTTTTGTCAATATGTCTGCCTTTTGAGCAACTCCTGGTACATGCTGGACCTCGATCAGATCATTGTCAACACATTCCCTAATAAAGTGATACCGACGATGTATATGCTTGCTACGACCATGGAATACCGGATTCTTCATCAGTGCTATGGCGCTTTTGTTATCAACCAAAACAGTCACCTTATCACTCCTTTTACCAATGACTTCAGCTATCACATCTTGTAACCAAATGGCCTGCTTTGCCGCCTCTGTAGCTGCCATAAATTCTGCCTCACATGATGAAAGTGCAACTGTCTCTTGCTTCTGGGAACACCAGCTTATAGGCGACTCGTTGATATAGAACACATACCCAGTTGTGCTTCGACCATCATCCTCATCAACATTGTGACTCGCATCACAGAAACCAATTACCTTCAGCTCCTTTCCTTGCTTATCACGCTTGAACCTTAGCCCATAACACAAAGTACCCTGCAAATACCTGAGTATCTGCTTTACTGCAGCCGCATGAGACACTCTAGGTTCCTGCATATATCGGCTCATAACTCCAACAGAAAAGGATAAATCAGGTCGCGTATGAAGCAAGTATCTGAGGCACCCGATGCTTCTTCTGTACTCTTTCTCGTCTATACTTCTTTCTTCAGGACTCTTAGACATCTTGATGTTCTGCTCCATTGGTACGTGAACTGGATTGCAGTCACGTAAACCAGCCTCTTCTAGTATTCTGCGAGCATATCTCTCTTGACTTAATGTGATCCCATAATCACATTGCTTAACCTCTATTCCCAAGTAATACGTCAAGAGTCCTAGATCACTCATTTCAAATTTTGCAGACATACTATTTTTGAACTCCTTTATCATCTCAAGACTCGAACCTGTGACTAGAAGATCATCAACGTAAACTCCTATAAGTAATAGATGGTCTTTCTCCTTCCGATGATATAACGCAGGCTCCTTAGAACACTTAGCAAACCGTAGTTCACTCAGAACTTTGTTTAACTTCTCGTTCCAAGCTCTTGGAGCTTGACGTAAACCATAAAGCGCTTTCTTCAGTCTATACACTTTGCTTTCTTGACCTTTAACTCTGAAACCTTCTGGTTGTATTACGTAGACCTCTTCCTTTAAATCCCCATGTAAAAACGCAGTCTTAACGTCCAAGTGATGTACCTGCCAGCCTCTTGAAGCCGCAAGAGCAAGTAGAAATCGGACTGTTTCAATTCGAGCAACAGGTGCGAATACTTCATCAAAGTCAATGCCATGTCTTTGTATGTAGCCTTTTGCCACCAACCTTGCCTTAAACTTGTTAATACTTCCATCCGAATTCCGTTTTATTTTGAACACCCATTTAAGTCCAATTGCTTTTGAACCAGCTGGCAAGTCAACAAGATCCCATGTTTTGTTCTTTTCAATAGACTTAATCTCGTCGTTGCACGCATCCACCCAAACCTTTTGTTGCTTAGCTTCCTCATAACTCCATGGTTCATCATTGATACTTAACAATAAGTACTCTGCTTCAAGCTCAGACAATAGTATATAGTCATCCAAGTATCCTGGCTGTCTTCTTTCTCTCGATGATCGTCTCAACTCAGGTTCTGTGACATCACCAATATCTTCATCATCTTCGCTCAGTTCATCATCCTCCTGTGCTTGCTCTGTTTCAACTTTAGGTATAGTGATGGGTCTTGTGTCTTGTTCATTTTCTTCATTATCAACTCCATGATTACCAAAGGTTCCTGTGTTTATTCGAAACATTCCACTATTTCTATGGCTGTAAGTCTTCCAATCCCAACCTTTTCCTTCATCAAAAACTACATCTCGGCTCACCACTATCCTCTTGTTTGTAGGGTCTAGTAATCTGTAGGCTTTTGAACCTGGTTCTGTTCCGAGGTGGATAAGCATTCTTGATCTACTGTCGAGTTTCTTGAGATGCTGCTGTTCAACCTTTGCATATGACAGACATCCGAAGATACGTAAGTGTCCAATGTTAGGCCTCCTTCCCTTAAACAACTCATATGGTGTTGTGTTCTTCACTGTTCGGCTTGCTGTTCTATTAATGAGATAAGTAGCGTGTCTGATGGTTTCTCCCCACAAGAAACTTGGTAGCTCCATGTGTCTCAGCAAGCTTCTGGTCATATTAAGAAGTGTTCTATTGCGTCGTTCAACAACCCCGTTTTGTTGTGGGGTATACAGAGCTGTAAGGTGCCTTGTTATTCCCTGTTGTTCACAATAAGAGTTGAACTCGTTGGAGGTGAATTCACCACCTCTGTCTGTCCTTAGGGTCTTGATCCCAATTCCTGTTTCTTTCTCTACCACAGCCTTGAACCTTTTGAATTTCTCAAAAGCCTCTCCTTTCTCATTTAGTAATATACTCCACATGTATCTTGAATGGTCATCAATGAGAACAAACACATACCGTTTTCCTGAAGAAGTTGGTGGAGTAATAGGACCACATAAGTCACCATGGATGAGCTCGAGTTTTGTGTTGGCTCGGTATGTGGTGGACTGAGGGAATGAATGTCTTGCTTGCTTTCCAAGCAAGCAAGATGAGCATATAGTCGTATTACTACCTACTTTAGGCAAGCCATGTACGAGTTCTTTGTTTGCCATCAATCTCATTGTTTCATTTCCTATGTGACCCATTCTTGCATGCCACTTCAGAGATTCATCCTTTATTGACGCCTGGAAGCAAGAGTAAGCTTCGTTTCTCTCCATATTAACCTTGTATAGTCGATTTCTTGATCTTACTGCTTTTGCTATCAACTTCCCTTCTTTATCTGTTAGTGTGAGGTGTGAATCCTTCATCCTTACTTCACAGCCACCTTCTGTAGCCTGACCTAAACTTATGATATTGCTTTTTAAGCCAGGGATGTAATAGACATCTGCTAGAATCTTCATGTTTCCATCTCTAGTGGCAAAAAGTATTGGACCCTTCCCTTTGATATCTATTCTTGAGTCATCTCCAAATCTTACTTTACCAGTGACCTTCTCATCAATGTACTTAAAGTATCTTTTATCACCAGTCATATGGTTGCTAGCCCCATTGTCTAAGTACCATACTTTATCATCATCTGTATTTGTCTCAAAGCTCTGTGGATTGACCTTTTTTTCGTTAAGATAGACTATTTCGTGGACCATCAACTCCTCTGCTTCTGTTGTGTCATTATCCTTGTTTTGATTTTCCGTTGCTTCCTGCAGTTTCAAGAGGCGATCTGGACATACTGAGGCAAAGTGTCCCATCTTATCACACCTGAAACACATTATTTTTGACATGTCAAAGTTGTCCTGGTAACGATTGTCTTGGTAACGATCTTGAAATCTTCCCCTGCCTCTTCCTCGATTGTATGTTCTGTATCCTCTGCCTCGTCCCCTGAAATTGTTGTTATTCTCACGGAAGTTGCTATTCTCACGGTTGTTTGTTGAGCTTTGTTGAGACTGAGATGAATTCTCATTGTTTACAAACATAAGTTTGCTTTGTGTTTCTTCTTCTTCATCTTTCAATCTCTCTTCATATGCTTTAAGTCTTCCAACAATCTGCTCAAATTTTGCAGTTTTAAGATCAATAAATTGTTCAATGGTCGCAACGATTTGAATGTACTTCTTTCTTGGTAGACACGTCAGAAGTTTCTTTATAAGCTTGTGTTCTTCAATGGTTTCTCCTAGAGCGGTTGACTTGGATGATAGTTCTGTTATCTTCCCAGCTATTATATCAATCGTGTCATCATCCTTCATCTTTAATCTTTCAAAATCAGAAGTTAACGTTTGTAGTCTTGCATCTCGAACTAGATCAGCTCCTAGGTATCGTTCTTTGATTGCTGCCCAAACTTCCTTTACGGTTTCAAGGTTGCCTAACTGCAGAATGAGAGTCTCAGGCAGTGATTGAAAGATTAGGGCTATTGCAAGATCATTCTTTTCGCTGTCTTTTGTTTCTTCTTCAACTAATTCCTTTGTTTCTTCTTCAACTAATTCCCAAACTTTGTTTATCTTCAACACAAGTCTGATTCGTATTGTCCAGACTGCGTAGTTTGTGTCTGTAAGCATAGGACAACTGATCTTGGAGGTTCCTCCTCCTTCCTTTGATTTAGAAACAACAATATCTCCCATGGTTGTCGTTTTCTTCTAGCTCTGATACCAAATATAGTTTCACAAGTTAAAGAGAATGTTTAATAAGAACTTGCTCTCTTATTAATCCTTGAGAAAATTCCTCAAA